TTAAGTCGGCAGTCCACAAGAAAAGTATGGACGAGACAATTTTCTCGCCAAAAGAAACGGAGAGATAATCTCTAGCCGTGGCCGCGACAGGATAAAAAGTTGTAGTTTTTTGTCCATAAATTCTCGCCTGGATAAAGAGCTTTCTCGCGCTTAGTTCACTAATTAGAGATGGTATCGGTCCTTCGAATTAGCATTTTGAGAAGGCAAGAACTCGTCCGAGGACACGAGATTTTGTTTAAGAGCGGCGAACGACGCTAGCACGTTCGGCTAAGCGAGATAAGACAGTTTTGACATAGTTTCGCATAACTTTAACTACTTTCTCTACTATTCTATGTCTGCTCTTTTTCAAACTCTACATTGTTACGATCTTGATACTAAACGATTAGATCTCGAGAGGTTCACATAAGCGAATTTTATGGGGTTACTTTTCGCTTCAAAGGCAGTAGCGCTACTCATTTGCAAACCTATTGCCTCATATTAATAGGGTTCAGAAAAATAAGATTTCTTATATAAATATGGTAATACACCAACAGAACAAACTGAGGCTCATTCGAGGCCTGTAGTTATTGCAATGTGCAAGAGAGAATATTTCGCAAACTTTCTAGTAAGTAATCCATCCTTGATTGATGACTTGAGTACTAAGTACTGAGGAGAACGTTTTCTTCTGGCTTTGCTTCTGACTCCTATGCGAATGAGGACTATCTCTATTCTCGTTAAATCGAAGGTTACTTCTGCACTTTAACAAAATGTCGTTAATATTTACAACTATGTATGTACATATATGCTAATATTTCGTTACAGGCTGGGGAATATTCTTGTAGGAAAGGTAGTCGAGGAATGTTCCGTTCTGACTATTGGTATAATTTGCACGTACTACAGTTGCAAGATGTTCAGGACAGTGGCAACTATTTTTTAACATAAGCTATAAAAGTGTTTAGATGAAGTACGATTAAAGCACAGATTTATTGTTGGTCTTCAATGTTTCAGCTCAAGGTGTAATAACATAAATCACTCGGTAGAATGTATTACAACCACTTAGGATTAAATAAAGCTTACTCTTGACGGACGTATATGTAAATGGAACTCAAAGCGGAGAAGCAAAGTATTATAAATTTATAAGCTATTCAATTACTTACATCTTGTATGGCAAGCCAAACAGCCGAGGCATTGCCTTTATGTTGCGTAAAAAACGGGCTTTGAATGCACGCCGTTTGCATTGATGCCCTTCTGACACCGTTTTTTTTTATTTTATTTATATTTACTTGTTATATGAGACTGTGCGCTCACGAAATGCCAATCTGATACCCGATATGGCCGGTTTCGCGGCGGGACGCGGCTCATGCCTTCATGCGAAAGATAAAATCATGGAATATCCGGAATTGCAGTTTATACGACCGTCAGTTTGACTTTTCTTGACCACCAATCTCCACAGCAAAAAAATTAAAGAAGTGTCCGTCGATATTTCAAGGGGTCATGCGTTGGGGCACCGCCGCTGATGGCTAAATGGAACTGTAAAGGATTGTTTGGCATTTTGTAAAATATTATCCAGTATCATGTGAAGCCTACTCCGAACATGAAAAGCCTTAACAAGTCTGCTCAAATACTCGTGGTTTAATCTTTAGAATTTTCTCCTGTTGACTGTTTTACATACAATTTGAAATACAGATATTGGTATCAATACTGCTGACATAATTTGGAACAAAAAACATCAGATCAAATCACACCTAGTTAAACAACAAGCCAAAATTAACCATTAAGCATCATCAACAACATGCAACATCAACCAAAATTAAGCAATTATATTTCTACGTTTGAAAACCGAGTCTTGCCTACAGTAGCTCTCTAATGAAACCAGCAAACATTGAATTATCAGCAACGATAACTGGCGCCAAACCGTCTGGGATTATCCATATACGCACAACGTGTGCTCCATTTCGCAACATCTGTTATAATTTAACTATCAGGACGAATAAAGTTTGAAATCCGGATACTGAAAGCACGAACATTTTATTAGCTGCTGCATATGTGGAAATTGATACGATTAAGCAGCTTTCTCGATGAATACGAAATTATTTGAGAGGAAATCTGGCTGGAATTATCCAAGCATGCATTGTGTTGTCAGTGAAACTACCAATATGTGATTTATGCATATGCAATCTTCTTCAATTACATATTCTAACTACTGCTTTGTTCGATGTTTTCGAAATATTTGCTTTTTTACATACATGGGCTTAAATCATTGACTATAGCTATTTTCCTCCTTTCCAGAGTAGATTCATTACATCCGACGTATATATTACGAGTTCAAGCATTTGTGAGTTTGCTTTGGTTTGTACCCTCCATAGGATTTTTTTCCAAATTCATATAAATAACTCCTGTTAGCGTCCCTTATAGCTTCATCTACCACTCCCCTTCGACAATTTCCATATGTTTCGTCTTTATCTACTTTCCATTTCTTGGTCATTGTTTCGCATACGTTCATTGATGGCATCTAGGTCGCAGTACATTGTCTCTTTGTTATCCATTCCATATTTATTAGAACTATAGGAACCACATATTCTTTACCGCAGCCTAAAAATAGCTGTGATGATGTCAACCCTTATTAGGTTAATAGTTCTGCGAATTTTTTCTATCATAAAAAATGCTTTGTGATATGTCATGTGATAATAAGAATTTACGCTATACTGGGAAACCGAATACTAAATGGCAAGAGGAGTTTGGCTAATATATGAGCTCAATTAGAAATTTAACGGTTTGAATAGCTTTAACACGTGTGTCAACTTTTTCCTGCAGATTTGTAGAAAAAGTTTAAAATTAATCTCGATCTTTCTGTGTTTTATAAGATTATGAATCGACATTAACACAGCTTAGGTTACCTCGATTTTTGCTCCTATTTAGGTCTATCGGTTAAAACCAACCTTTAACTCACGGAAACACGTCTAGTTAATTCTAGATCTTTGGACAGCCAGAACTAGAAGCTGCTGCGTTTTAGCACGGTATCAGCGTATATTTGAGAACAAACAATTATACAGGACGAGTAGAGATCAAAGTGTCGTATGAAGGCAGTGCACAGAAAATTTAATTTTCAAGTTCAGAAACACTTTCAAAAACAAATACAATTTATATTATTTGGCGTTATTTTTTTTGTTTAAAATCAACTTTTCATATGACGCTTGACCCTTACTTTTTGTAGATGCTATGCAAACTCAATATTTTTTTTTCGATGATGGCTCGTCGTACAAAAAGAACTAATGAGAGCTGAGATGAGCCTTCCGACCGAGAAATCTTTTTGCTTTTTAAGAAAATATATACACAAACGTACACACCACACTATTTTAGATAATTTTGGATTATATATATATACAGGGTTGCTCATTAGTGCGTCAAAGTGCGATATCTCAGTAAATATGAAGTTTACAAGAAAATTCGTCCAACGAAAGTTTTTCACGTTTAAAAGGTCCACATTCTAAAATTACTTTCCAATATACAGGGTGCATCATAAACGTGTGGTAGTTACCAACTCTGGTTTTTTAAATGAAACCCCCCTTTTTTTTTGTTATTTTCAGATTGGCCGTTCAATTTTAATTTATGTTTGTTTCAACCGTTT